TTGACTTATTCAGCGCAGTTCAATTTATTCAGCGTAGTTCAGATTATTGAGCTTATTCAGCTTAATTCAGTTTATTCAGCTCAATTCAGCACTCTTAATCAAAGCAATTATCTTAGATCATAAAAATTGAAGAAACTCATTACCGAAAATCCCATAAAATCAGAGCAAAACCCATAAAAAATCTTCCCCACTTATCAACTCTGCTCCATGCACATCCAACAAAGTACATACCGAAAAAATTTCCAAAAGAATCTTTTCTCATCATTCCGAAACAAAAAGATGAAAAACTTTTTTTTTCTTCTCATTAATCGAATTAAATATTCAAACGGTAGCCGTCGAGCCTAATCTCAGTATAAAGTAAATTAATGAAAAAATCATTATCCTTAGTGGTTTATCTGCTTTCTCAGATCTACCATCATTTATGAAATGTGAAAAATTCATCAGTCAACGAAGGTACATCGGGGGTACGATTTTAAAGATCTTAGAAAAAAAAGTAACAAGATGAAAGGAAGTTAATTAACATTTAATAAGTTTGTTAAATTATACGATTATGACTATTAAGAGTAAGAGAAAAGAATTCTTTTGTTATCAACCGACAGATAATCAGCAACAAGCATAAAAGACTAGGATGGAATCATTTGATTGAATATTTCGAGATGTTGTCACTTTAGTTAAATTAATAACTACTATAAATGAGATCTCGTCTGAAGTAGATTTTGATGTTATTTCAAAAAAGAAGGCAAAAGAGACTTTTGTGTATATTTTATTTCTAAAGTTGCGCTGCCTTTTGAAGCCCATCGCTTCGATGTTTTATGTTAATTAAATACCCCGGTCAAAAAATATATTCTTTTTTATTTTTTTCTTTTCTTGATTACTGCTGAATGAAATTTTATGTTAATTAGTTTTTGTGTAGAGCTTTATAATATATATGAAAATAAAAATATCGAAATAAAAAGTTATTTGACTCTTTGACTTTATATGAAAATTAGAATGATACTGTCTTCCTCTTTTTTTTTACCTGACTCGATGGACAGCTATCGTGAATGTTCAATAAAGAATTATTGTTTACTGTCTTTTTAGAAATTTTGTGGTGTGGATGCATTTAGAAGCTATTTTCCCGCATCATCTTTTTAGCGCCTATGCAGATGAAAAAAAAATATCTTCAGGCTTCATTTTAGCACATAATCTTGGAGGAAATGCGATTTTGTTCTCATTTTGTTTGTTTTTCTTCTTATCAGTTGTGGGTTTTTTGTATTATAGCCATTACAGCACATATGGTTGATGCCTACTTCAAGGAAGGCATTCAAATCTTCGATTAGTATTGTTTTTTGTGTTAATTTTTAACGCCCTGATAACGCCCTATGTGAATAAGAATTATTAAATCTTTATTGGATATTATTTGAGTTTTTTGTGATAAGTTTATTTTTGGTTGTTTTAATTTCTTTCATAAAATTTGAGAATAAAATTTTTTTTTCGAATTTAACTTCCTTGTTAAAATAAATTATAAATATTTTTGTAAAGGTTTTTATTTCGTTTTCAACATTAGCACTTGAAATATTAAAAACAGCTTAGTTTTTCAAATCAAAATAATAAAACTTGTTTTTTAAAAACTAATTTTAAAATCTTAAAAAAGTCAAAAAAATTTTCAATACTGAAATTTTGACGAAACTGTACAAAATTTAACGGAATTTTGCAATTTTTATTAATTTGAGCAATTGTTGTTTATTTTGTTGATTAAAATTAAATTCAATTTAATAAATTGTAAAGAATAATATTTAAGTTATTACAAAAATTAAATGAATTGTTTTAGCTGTTTTTATATTACGGATGCTTAAAGAACAACACAACACAAAAAACTATGTTGAAAACCGGAAAATTTTAGTAAATTAAGCAAAATTTTGATGAGGAATGTTTAATTGCGTTAAACTTTTGACTTCTATTGTTATGAGTTTTATTGCATTGCTTTAATTTGGGCTGAATAATGTCGAATAAATTTAATTTTTGTAGGTAAACATTTTTTTTTGTCAAATTTTTTTGAGTTTAAAGTTTATTGAATTAAATCCAAAAATTGAACAAAAACTGTGTTTTATAAAATTTATTTTTTAAAAATCAAAAGATTATGTTGCAAAAATTTAAAATTGGTTGCATAAAATATTTTTATAATAAGAAAAAATAAAAATACTCAAGCAATAAAAGTTTAAAAATTGTTTTTTTACAAATTTTAAATTTTTTTACTCAATTATATTTATATTATTATTTTACTCAATAGAAATTTAAAATAATATATTGTAAAAATTCAATTTTAAAGCACAACTTAATTCAATTTTGAAGATTTATGTAAAATTTGATTTAAAAATATAGGATAAAATTGATAAAAATTGAAAAAATTAAAAAAAATTCTTAAAATTTCAAATAAACATTATTTTTTAATATGTTTTTAAAAATATTGCCCTTATTACCAAAAGTCAACAAGAATTGTACTAAATATAATCTGATTAGCGCCAAGTCAGACTAGTTCACAGCAATCATTTGTTCCGCTCATAGTAAGTCTCAAAAAAATGAAAATATTTGCTGAATAATTCTTATTTAAAATACAAAAAACAAGAAACATTCCAAAAAAGAAATTCAAAGTGAGAACAATTTCACTGCCGCCTGTGAACAAGAGAGAAAATGCGCGTAAATTAACTTCCCCTTTGCATGCATGCTGAGTGAACTCTTTCTAATATTTTGTTTATCATTCTTAAGGAGCACACGAATTGAATATTTATTTCAGGAATTTATAACTTTTTCACTCCATAATTTTTCTTGTTTGATTCTCGATCTTTTTTTTAAATAAATTAATATCCAAAAACTATGACAAAAAAAATTAAAAAATTTGTCGAATATTTCACAAACCAAGCTTCACATTTTATAATCCGTACCTAAGTGAATATCGAAAAATTGGAACTAGAAAAAGAAGAAACATATTTTTTTTGCTTATTTATGTCTATTTAAAAATTTATCAGATATAATACTTATTTATCCTATCCAATATATGCTCTCCCGTGTGGATGGATGAATGAATGATAACACACAGCCATTAAATCATAACAACAATTCCTTATTTCTTTTAAGAAAAAAAAAAATCAAAAGCTTCATTAAAAAAACAGTAAAAAATCTCTTTGATGGAAAATCATCAAAGAAATGCTGAAAATTGACTGAATTTTCATTTTTTTTGCTTCTTTCTAATGGGGTTGAAACACTCGAGTTGAAGGAATAAAAAGCAAAAGCACTCAAGACACATTGAGGGAAATGAAAGAGAATGAAAATTGTTTTGCATACGCCATATCAAATGTGAAATTGTGAATGCTCTTGAAAGCCGCAAAACATGCGCAAAGAATTTAGTGGAAAATATCCACAAAAATGAACAGAAAAAATAAAATTTCCGTCAGTCTCTCATTTTCAATCACTAGATTGTTGTCTAAAACATCCAGTTCAATGCTTCATGTGTGTTGAAAACAATGAGACAACAGAAATAAATGAAATAATGGGCGGTGCCAATGACATAAACCAACCGACTAAACTGCAGAGTGAGAAGGCACGATTAGTAATGAAAAGAACATACAACTAGCATAGAGAAAACCAGTCTTTGTCGTTTCTTTTCTTTTTCTCTTACTTTGATGTGTTGTGTATCGAGTGCGGTCTCGAAACTTGTGTGTTTCAGTTCGTTCACAAATATCGAAGCGCTTACACGTAATGTTGAAATTGTGCGTATTTATAATTTTCTTATATTATTTGAAACAACATCAAAACTAGAAGAATATAAAAACATATATTAAATACGAGAACTAAAAGGAAATTTTAAAAAAATATAAAAAAGTTTGATTCTTTTTTGCGATTCTTAACTTAGTTTCCATTATACGAATTACGATAAAAGAAGTTATTTGGTTGTGTCCGTCTCTAAACAAATAATTTCGCGAGAGAGACAAGTTTTTGCCGCGGAAATTCTAAAGACATAAAAAAATAATTCCGGTGTCAAATATAGACAAGAATGAGGAACGTGAAAAATATTACATGGTGTAGCTGTTAATCAGAATTAGACAGTACCTGAAAAAAAAAATAATTTTAATTATTATTTAAAAGAGTTACCACAAGTTGATGTGATTATCATCGATGCTTGAAATTTGATACGAAAATTAAAAAGTGAAAACTTCCACGATTCCAACCTAAACAAAAAAAAAAAAGAAAGAAAAGAGTTGTGCTAATTTATATACATATATGAAGGAAAAGCCAAGACACCAAAGAGAAATAAAACAGAATAAACGATAATTTTTTTAAGTTCTTTCAATCCACAAAAAAAAAGAAAAAAAAAATATAATAAAAAAAAGGATTCAAAACAGAATTGATGATTTGATATAAAGCAAGACAGTGTGTGGTGCAAAAAAAAGAAACAACAACCAAGGAGAATAAAAAAAGTGATTGATTGTACTTCTTTTTTACTTGTGTACTCGGTGTGGTGTTCATTGTAGAACCAAAAAAAAATTTATATAAAAATTAATTCGGGTTTATTGTTCGTCCCGGAAAAAAAATATAAATATCTATATAATATCAAAAAGGACGAGTACAACAACAGAAAAAAAAGATAGGACATAAAACATACTGCGATTTTAGGTCTAATGATTTTTTGATATCGGTTCTATTGAGGAAGAATAATCCATTCTGAATTATTTTTGAGGAAGGAACATACACACAATTTTTTCGATATACGCAAAAATAATAAGAACATATTGTTTAATTCACGTCTTCTTATTGACGTGCTGAAGGATACAACAAAATTTTATTTGATATTTTGATAAAATTATACGAGAGCAGGCAGTGACAACACAAGAGAGAATTTTTATTGGTGATTTATCGGTGATAAATGTTGAATCGTTTTCCTTAAGATAGGAAAACTGAGCCCAAATTTGGAGCCCTACCCCGCGAATAGCGTGGACGGGCTAAACAGCCCTCGAGGGGTGGGTATGGCCGCCACGACATATATGACATCTTCGGGTGATTTAGAGATGGCACTAGGTGGTGGATATCACACATCGTCACCTAGAAGTGCTGCAGATGCAAACGAAATGAAATATATGCATCATCATCAAGCAAATCACCATCATGTGCCCTCAAGTCCAAGTCCTAATCATGCTGGTTTAAGTTCCGTTGGTGGTCTCGGTGGAGTTGGTGGAAATCCATGGGCTGCCTTACAGCCCTCAGATCCATGGGCATTACATTCACATCACACTCATCATCCCCATCATCCAGCCGATGTTAAACAAGAAATGCATTCAGCGCTAGCACAACAAGCTAGAACACAACAAGGAATGGCATCACCACATGCCTGGCATGCACCAGTTCATGCAGCGGCTCATTATGCGCCGTCAGCAGGATCACCACTTCAATATCATCATGCGATGAATGGAATGCTTCATCATCCGGCACATCCACATCACCAAACATCAGCACCACTTCATCATGCATTGAGAGGTGAATCACCACAATTACATTTACATCCTCATCACTTACAAGGCGATCGTGATGTGAGTGCGGGCGAGGAAGATACTCCGACATCAGACGATTTGGAAGCATTTGCAAAACAATTTAAGCAACGTCGTATCAAGTTAGGTTTCACACAAGCCGATGTCGGTTTAGCATTGGGTACTTTATACGGTAATGTGTTTTCACAAACAACAATTTGTCGGTTCGAGGCTTTACAATTAAGTTTTAAAAATATGTGTAAACTAAAGCCGCTCCTTCAAAAGTGGCTTGAAGAGGCTGATTCAACGACCGGGTCACCGACAAGTATTGACAAAATTGCTGCACAAGGACGAAAACGTAAAAAGCGCACTAGCATAGAAGTGTCAGTGAAGGGTGCATTGGAAACACATTTTCATAAACAACCAAAACCGTCGGCACAAGAAATAACAGCATTAGCCGATTCATTACAATTAGAGAAAGAAGTTGTGCGAGTGTGGTTCTGTAATCGTCGACAAAAAGAGAAGCGTATGACTCCACCGAATACGATGGGTGGTGATATGATGGATGGTATGCCACCAAGTCATATGGGTCATCCTGGACATGGAGGTTATCATCATCCTCATGATATGCATGGAAGTCCTATGGGAACACATCATAGTCACAGTCATTCACCACCAATGCTGAGTCCACAAATGTCAACCGGTGGTGGTGGACATCAGCTAACGGCCCACTAGCAATCAGAGCACCAGGGGGAGTCTACGACATCACCTCTGCTTCAACACTCTAACCCGCATTCACATACGTCTTCGTTAATTAATACCTCAGCTGTTCAGTCGTCAGCTCTAAACTCACCGACAACGACTTCAGCGATGTCTGGAATGTATATTGATCCACGACATCCATCAATACAACAGCAACAACTTCATGCGAGACGTATCTTTCAAGAGTGGACTCTACAGTTTGGACCAACCGGTCCTGCTCCTGGTGCAAGATATTTGAACTGAAATTCTGAACAAGAATTCTACCCCCCAATTTTTAACTTCTAAATATAATTGATGAGCTCTTAAATATAATATAAAAAATTTATATATATAAAATAAATTACAATTGTGGTGAAATGGAACTGATGAAAAGTGATGATGTACATATAGGAAAAAAAAATCAAAGTAAAAAAAAATAATAATGAAAATACGAAACTAAAGAGTAAATATAGAATATAAAAACTAGATAGAATTTAAATATAATGAGTTCTAGTGATATATAAAACAAATAAAACAGATCATGATGATGATGATGATGATTATGACTCTATATGTGAGAGAAGACGAAGAAAAAGGAAAAAAAAATCCAATTAAAGAAATGCAAAAAATATGAAAAGAAATAAATGAAAAATATGATAATTAAGGTAAATAAAATTAAAGCACACACAAAATGAAAATGTAAAATGTAAGTATTTAAAGAAAAAAAAAAAATTGAACAAAAAATCAATGAACTTAAGAAAAATGAGAAAAAATTAAGTAATGGACTATAAGTTTCAAGACATAATATTTAATGAATAATTATAAAGAGCTGTCGTTTTATGTTTATATTTTAAATTCTTTTTCGTTTTATTTTTATTACATTAAATATATATATTTTAGGATGAAAAAAAAATTATGTTTCTATTCAGGTTTAAAGTAAATACATACAATATTATTTTATTAAAAAAAAGTTCAAGGGATGGTGACTTGATGGGGATTTTTTTGATGAGATTTTTGAAGTTGTGGAAATTTTGAATTGAAAGTTTAAAGATTTTTTGGAGATCTGAAATCAAAATCGTCAACATTGAATGAAATTTTGAATTTTTCAATAAGTTATTTTGTTGTTTTGTGGAAGATCTTACAAGTTAACAGCAGTTTGAAACTTAATATAAAGTTTTGAACAAAAAAGATAAAAATGAGTAAGTTAAAATAATAACGGAATTTCCAGATTCAAAAATTTAATTTCAATGTTTTTTATTAAAATTGAAGGTTCATAAATCAAGAGTTTGTATATTTTAAAATAATATAAAATCGTGTTTAAAGTTGAACGAAACTAGTTTTTTAAATGAATATTATTTATTACTCTTTGTTAACTGTTTTGCCACAACATTATTGAAATTTTTAAATTTTGAAGCATCAAAAAAAATTAATTTCAAAGTTAATAGTTAAACTAGAAGTAATAATTTTGCTTCAAGCTCCACAATTTGACAAAGAATCAATAAATTAAAGAATCAAAATTCAAAAACTTTATTTCTAATAATTTTGCAATCAAAACCTTTACAAAAATATCCTCATCAACACCAAAAAAGCCTTGCTAGAAATCATGTTTTAGATAATTTAATTTTATCAGTGAAAAAAAAAACAAAATAAAGAAAAATTTCAAAGAAAATTTAATTTTCAAAAATTTTAATTCTCTTTTTTTGTTTTCTTAATTCAAAACACACACATAGTATATTATTCTTATAAAAAAAAATCTTTTAAAAAAATTGTATACTACATATAACGTGAATCAAATCGAACTTAATTAGTTTTAACATGCAATTCTCTTTTAATTAAATAAATGGATGATGATGAAGATGAAGAAATTTTTTTAAATCAACTATCACTACCAATACAATAGAATATGAAAAGAAAATTGATGAAGAAGATCCTCAAATCACTGAATAATAAAAAAATAGTCGTAATAATTTTTCATTTTTACTTGTGTGGAGTTTGGTCGACTTTGTTGTCTCGGCGCATCAGTTTTAACAGGTTTTCAGAATTATGTTGGCAAATTTCAGAAAAAAATCAAAAAAATTTGGAATCTTTCAGATTTAGAATTATCTTTCAGTTCATATTGAACTACCAACGTCACATTTATGACGTCAAATTCTGTCATATTATTACAATTTAATACTTCCACTGAATGATTGACAAAGTTTTACTTCACTTTATGTTAAAATGTCACTTTATCACTCACTTTGTCAAAAACAAATAGTCATAAACTTTGAATTAGAGAGGTGCATCGATATAGATCAATTTATCAATAACAGAGATCGTTGGCACTAATTTTTGAATAGCATGTTAAATCAATAAGACTTTAGCATTGAAACTGATTTGTAATTTGCACTTTATTGATAATCCTAATGATGATTTCTAAACAGTTGAATGATTTTGTCAATCAAAGCCCAAGGAGCACACATTCTGAACTTACATTTGTCGATTTTAAGTAATTTAATGTTGCAAGTTCAATGATTTAACGAATTAATAGAAACTCTTACATAGATCTTTGACAAAGTCTTTGATAAAATGAACTTTAATCCATCATCATTAGATCATAATCATTAAATCTTGTTTTCAATCAAAAGCTGACCAGTTTACAACTTTCATAGAGATCCTACAACAAACCTTAATGGTACTTCCGAATTGTTTAGCTTTGCATTGTTGAGATCATATGAATTGGAGTGATCTTGATATAGTTATTATAAAATTATGAATTTGAGTGATGAGACTAGGATATACTGAGTCAAAAGTATGTTAATAACGTATTGTCGAATGCAAGCAAGCCTCCTCATAGTCGCAGGAGGCAATTTGAAGATTATTCTTTCAACAAACGCAGGTTCAATTCCTATCGACTTTGACTTGTGTGATCATTTAATTAAACAAGGTAATGGCTTTCAAGATGTGATGTTTATGAATTAATTTGATAATATTTCACATTTATTGACTCTAAATGTCCTCGATTCTAATGAAATTGATAATCGATAAAAATTTCAAATCCAATTTCAGTTCCACAAAAACTTGCTGAATCATAATTTTATCGTTTAAAATCATTAAAAACCATCTTCATTTCAATAATTATTGACCATTTGGATGTTTTCACTGGAAGTACCCAACAGTTATGATAACAATTTACACGAAAATAAATTTCTTATCGTTTAAATGACCTCAACAAGTATAAAAATAACATAAATTTTTTGGACATGCACACGCGTGACAACATCAAAAGAGACGCAAACTATCCACAAGTAAATCCTTATTTATCCCTTTTACTTATACTTAGTATTTTGCAATTTAATTACCACAAATTTTTATATGTCACAATTTAAAATATTTCCTCTTTAATTCAAATTAAAAAAAAAGAAATTTTAAAGGAAATTTTTTGTACAAAAAGTCAATATACGAAAAGAAAAAATAATTAAAAAAATTTTAATTGAAATGTGTCCATTTGTATACAGACTTTCCAATAATTCAAAAAAAAAAACGAAATGATAAACTTTTAAAGTAATGGAAAATTTTCTAAGAAAAAAAAAACAACCTTATTTAAATATATTTGTAAATAGAATTTTTGATTGAATAGACTCACACATACAATGAATGAATGAATGACACACACAAAAAATGAAAAGAAAATGCATAAATTAGGAATAGGTTAATCAACACAAACACAAGACACATTTTCATGGTGACAGAAGTGTTTGAAAAAAAAAGTTCATAGCTATAATTAAAATTCTCAAAATAAAAAAAAAACTTTTTTTTTATAATAATTTAAAGGAAACAAAAGAATCCTCTTTTCTTGCCCTCTATCGCCATGAAATTGCAATGAACAAGATTTTTTTTTTAAAAAAAGTTTATTAAAAGAAAAATGAAGAAGAGTTCACTCAAAAAAAAAATATGATGATGATGAACAGTGAGGAAAAAGGTAGAAAATGTAAACTTTTTTTTAAATGGATTAAAAGGTAAAAAAGTTATACTTTTCGTATTAAAAATCTTAGATGTTTTTATTCTTTGATTTCATTTCTACATTATTAACTTTTTCGTCATGAGTATCCGTACTTTAATTCACATTTATTTGTTAGATGAAAAAAAGAATGAAGAAAAGACTTAGAATGTTTTGGATTAGGCTGTAGAGACTAAACGAAATGCTTTACAGAAAAATTTACTGGTTTGAAATTAGCTTGGAATTTTGAAATTGATTTTTTAACTGCTCAGCTGAATTCAGCTAGTTTTTGTAATGTTCAACTGAATTCAGCTCTATTCAGTAAGTTTTTGCTGAATTTTACAACAAGCTAAACTGAATTCAGCGGTACTCTGATAAATTCAGCAACAATTCAACTCAAGAATGCTGAAATCATCAACAATCTGCTAGATTCAGCTAAATACAGTTAAACTTAACTTTGTAATGATGAATTAAGCTTACATGAGATGAATTATGCTTTATTCAGTTCATTCAGCTGAACTTAGCAACTATTCAACTGAATTCAACAACTGTTCAGCTGAATTCAGGAACTATTCAGCTAGTTTCAGCGTCAATATACTGAGTAGAAATTTCAAAAGGTTTCTAAAATCTCACAAAAACTCCAAGCAAACTTCACACCAGTAAATAAAATTATCGAGAAATTCAGAAGAAGAAGAGCAAGATGTTGATCATGTAAGATTGATAAGAAGTCGAATAAAAAAAATATTTTATTAATTTACGATATGTCATCATCATGTGTTGAGCAACATTTTTGCCTAAGAAAAAAAAAACTCAAGATAAATATGAAGAAGAAGAAGATGAGACCTGCTCGTTAGCATCTAGTTTGTCTCTTTGCTATTGAAAGATCAAATGATGAAAACATACAGATTCAAAAAAAAAGTGAGAGAGAGAAAATTATATGTGCTTAATCAAAACAAACAAGTTGTCGACATTGAAAAATATTTGCATAATATTTGTGTGTACGTCAACATATAAAACATAAAAAAATTTATATAAGAAAATCCGTCGGTTTCGAACATTTTAACGAGCTTTTTACGCGCAATGATCAAAAAAATATGAAAAAAATTTCACAAGTTTTTATCATTTGATTTTTTTTTTATTTCTTGTTTTATGTTTAAAATGATGATTAATCCCGAGTGACATTAGAATTTTTTTGGCAACCTGTTGGTAGTTTGTCTACTATTAAATTGCTAAATTGTCGCTCGGAATGACGAAAAAATTCAAATTTTTTTGATACAAAAAAGAC